CCAGCCATGGAGGAATTCATGGGGAATTCTGGGAGTTGAAGTTCACTCATCTTAAAGTGGCCAAGTTTGGACAACACTGATCTAATCCACGTTAGAGCCCCGCAAGGGTCTCTCTGCATAGATCTTATTTGTATTCTGTCTCCCTGCGGCAGGGTTTCCGGAGGGGAACTTTTTGACAGGATAGTGGAGAAGGGATTTTACACCGAGCGAGATGCCAGCAAGCTCATCCGTCAGATCCTTGATGCTGTTAAATACCTGCATGACATGGGCATCGTACACCGTGACCTCAAGGTGGGTCGGTGAACTCGGCCAGGTGTATTTGCAAGTTGTAGTCACCCTACCATTAAGAAGTGTCCCCACAAGCTATTTACGGAGGGGTATGCTAAACACAATTCCTGCAATTAGTCACTGTGTGTGGGTTGGTTTGTTTCGGTTTTTGTTTTTAAAAAGCGGGTTTAGCTTTTCTTCCAGTATAAAATAGCCGATATGCTCCATCCTTCCCCTCCCAATCTGGATTACAATTATAGCAGGAGTGTGACGTTAAAACCCCTCCATTCTCAGACTTCCATGCCAAATCCAGCCCCCTTAACAACCATTAATGCCGTTGTATTTATTTAAAATGTATTTTTTAAAAACACCCCTATATTATTTCTTATTTATAAAAATCTTGATGATAAAAAATATAAAAATGGCATTTGATTTGGCTATGAATTACTCATTTCTGCAGTTGTTGGTCATAAATGCTCTATGCTAGAGAAAACAGTAAAACGCTTTTTAAAAATGAAAGGACTTTCAGGCTTAGAAGTGTAAATCATTGCACAAAATCCTCCAACGGTGGCGCTGGAAATGTATAACTAGAGCGTTGACTGGAACAAACTAAAATAAAAATGTAAAGAAATAAATCTTACGACCACTTTTTATTTTCCTAAAAGCTGTCTTGTGGGAATTTGAATAGACATTTCTGCAAAGAAAACATTTCCCCCCATTCCAGCTGATTACTTGATGCACATCATTCTCCCTGCCAGCTTCCCTTTGCTTTGAAACAGTTGTTATTGTGGTTAATAGCAACCGAGATGAGATAGATGGAGACAGGGAGTGACTTGCAGCAGGAAATCAGATGTGACAAACCTCCAACTTGTGATGGTCCACCTGTGCAGCTATGTTGTGGTTTAATTTGTTTTAATTTGTAAATGTTGGCATGCTAATTCTGGAAAACTCAAGGCCAAAAGGGTTGAACTAGAGTGCTTAGTTCTAAAAAGAGATGTGTGTGTGTGAGATAGAGAGAGACGATAGATTAGATGCAATTCTCCATAGATATTACATCTTTAGAAAGAGATCTATAGGAAAAGGTGTCCTGAGTGACATGGTGTTCTGTCTACAAAAGGTGGTGTAGAGTCTAATAAATCAGAAGGAAGAAACCATGGGATACAGGAAGAAAAACGCTTACTCTTACGACATCCTGTTTCTCTAGACATCTAGTTCAGGGAAAGAGGGAAAATGGAAAAAAAAGTTGTAATTATGGATAATCAGATTATTGTACATTGATCAGATAAATCTATTATATTACAGCTCTCAGGAGTTGCAGTGCAGCCTTTTTCTTTACATATGTAGAAATGACAAAAGATGATAGTGGTTTCACATGAATAGTGCCAAACAGTGGCTGGAAATGCAAATGTTACAAATTGCTTGGGAACTATGGCTAAAACAATGTCATATATGTAGAAAATTGCCTAGAAGCCCAATATAGTTACACTGAATGTCAGACTTTGGCATCTAGGCAGAGCAAGCCAGTTACTTACCTGGCACTCCTTTGAATGTGATGGTGCCAATAACTGATTCCTGCTTTCAGTGTGTGTAGATTGATTGCTAAGCCAGGATTAGAAATGGCATGAGATTTATGTAGTAAGCTCTTACCAGGAGAATGCGTAGATATTTACTTCACTTTAGGAACATAGCTCTATAAGCCCAGTTTCTTGTAATCTTTGTTTCAGAAGAGATGTCATGCAGACTGATTCTTTCCAGATTGAGGAAATGTCTTGCACAACTTTCCTTATCATTATAGAATATTTAACCATCAGAATGATTTAGGCATAAGCTACTATTATTTGTTCCAGCTGGAAAAAACGTGATTTTTTTTTCACATGAACAAGTCGGGGAGGGCCTTCATTGGCCAGCGCAAAGAGAGTTTTGCCACTCCCAACCTACTCCTCTTTGAATCTTTTTTGCAAAAGAGGAGAATGAGTTTAGTGTGAAATGACAGCTCTGTTAGCTGGCTGGCCCTTGGAATCTGGCCCTTGTCTGGCTGTCCTGCCAATAGATGTTCAGGATGATGTACATTTAAAACACACACACACAAACTGATTACAAGACCAAGAAAATAGTATTATACACTAGAGAAGGGCATTAAAACTGAAAAGCAACATAAACTTGTTTGTATGTGTTTTCAAGTCCATCCTGAGTCCTCATGACTACACGTGCCTTCTTCCTAGGGCTGCGAGGAAGTGACTGGCCCAAAGTCACCCAACTAGCTCCCGTGCCTAAGGCCAAATTAGACTTGGCTTTCCTTATTCCTAGCCCAGCACTGTTGGCCAAACTGGCTCTTAACATAAGCATGATGTAATATTAATAAGCCACATGCAACAGAACAGTGTTTACTCCTTGGCCAAAGCGCATTAAATATGGAGCCAGTCTCTCTCTCTTCTCATACAAACATTGCTGAAAAAGCCCTTTGAGGGAGGCTAGATGGTTAAGCATTCAAGAGAATTAGATGTGCTGATGAAAAGGCCCTGTTTTGAGTATCTAGCTATTTAACTATTCTAGCCTCTCTGGTGGAACATACAACAACCCCCACAGCAACTCCAGTAAAAACATCTTTACTGTTTTAATGAAAGATTATGACGATTGCTTGATCACAAAACAAACTAAATGATTGCATGACATGGGATTTATGATACTATGCTTCTAATTTACACTGCTGAGAAGATTTTTAAAATTGTCTAATTTCTGAAAGTTAATAAATCAAAACTCCGATTTTGGTCAAACCAAATGCCCCTGTTACGAGAAGCCAAAAGCAAATCAGTTTTTGGCATCCTAACCCAATTTGCTTTCCCCCCCAAGAGCTGGGTTTAAAAGTTGGTTTGAATATCCAAAAGCATGGGGCAATAAAAGCAAATAATGTGGAGTGCCGTGTTCCACACTACTGCCTTATATAGTAGTCAGAATCTAGAGTTATATGGTATTTTCCTAAAATGAACTTCTAAGATTGCTATGCATCTGTTGAACCCTTAAATAAGAAAGCAGTTCTAGGTGTAGGACTGAGAATCATTCATTTTAACTCAGTTTTTCACCACTGCATATCAGAGAGGAATCCTGTTATTTGGAATGGTGCTTAAATCAGAATCTTTAAACATTTATTTAGCAGAAAAAGAACAAGGAGGGAAAAAACTCTAAAAAATAATAAAATGAATTTGGGAACTAGATTTTAAATCCAGGATAGATATTTAACTGGTTTAATTCTCATTTGTTCTAAAAGGCAAAATTTTGCTAACATGATATTGGCTAGTAATGAAATAATTTTATGATGACAGATTTCATTGCAATGGTACCAGTTCAGCCTGTAAAAATATAGTAGGTATGAATCTGGGTGTTCTAGGTTTTGTCCTCAGCAATTTATTTTGAAATATTCTAGGTCTGAGGAAAAGTTTAGGGACCAGGTTTCAGCCCAATAAGAAAAATATGCACTAAGTTAATTTCAGGAGGCATAAAACTGACCGAATTAAATTAACACCACCTGTGCCTCAAAACAAGTATTCCAAGTTTTGAAGGCCGATAATGGCGAGCCCAGCTGCCAGGTGAAGGAAAATGCAAACCGAGGTATCGGTGAAAGGTAGGCTAGCCACTATGTTTCACTCTCTTTTTTCCCCAAAGACAATAACCTTGATTTTGTTATACTTAATGGCTAATTAGGGTTTTTTCCTGGAATCCTTAGCTAAGACCAACGGAAGTCTACAAAAGTTAATCTGGGAGCAAGAAATAAGGATCAGGTCATCAACATAAAAGAGAAAGGATAAATTTCTGTCGTGTAGCTTTGCTAGACAAAACTATTCGTCAGTCAACGGCTTTGTCACTGACAAGGAGTTAAAAGGACGTGGAGCCAGGGCACTCTGCCTTGCTTAAAACCCTGGGAAACCAGGACGTGATCTGAGGGTAAAACCTCACTTGGATAGTCGGACTCTCATGTCAAGACTGCAACAAGAATAAAAGGAAATGATTCATAGTTGTACTTGTTCATTTTGCTCATTGTGGAACATGGTAACAGGACTTCTCTTGAGTATCGTAAGCGATAGGCAGATTCCGTTGGAAGAAGGCAACCCTTCCAATATGTTGGCCCCAAATAATTTAGGGCAGCAGAAGAACAATGGGCAGAGTGCAGGTGTTGAATCTTTCCCTATATGCTACTAGTGTCCTGCAAAACCTTTCCTATTCCAGTGTCTTTCTCCCACAAGGCAACAAAAATACTGTAAGTCCAAAACCTTGGTTGGAGGAAAGTTGGGGAGAGGGACTTTTGCAGGAGAAAAATGACTGGCAGGAGGTGAATGCCAGCCTTGCAAGGTAGTCCATACAAGAAGCACACCCAGAAGTACTAGTTCTAACTTCACTGTAAAGTTACATTAACAGAATCTTGCAAGTCTGAAAGTACATCTCTGCCTTCTCGCCTTTACAGTCCAAGAAACTAGGGAGGGTCCCTTCTGAGACGTTTGCCACACTCCCATTCCTTCTGTGGACTCAATTGCTGCTTATCTGACCATTGTCTAACCCGTGGCTCTTCCTCCTGTCTCCCAAGGTCATTCCCACATACCATTACAGTGAATTATGTTTTCCCTACACTGTAAATGGTCCTCTCACCTCGCTCCTTTCCAACCATTCTTAGGTTCTCTGCTATATATGTACAGTGGAACCTCGGTTTACGAACTTAATTCGTTCCGTGACTCTGGTCACACCCCGAA